CGTGCGTTACTGTCTCTCTATCTGTATATATATATATATATATTTATATTGATGAACGATACGTTGTCACCCAGAAAATAGGTATAAACCATACTCTGTTACTTCATCTACAACGGTGTCACCTCAAAAAGATGAGGTGACAACGTATTGCCTTAGTTTCTTGGTAAATCGATTTTAGATGGCGTTACTGATCGTATGCCCATTTTTATGGGTGAGGTGATTTCGACCTCTATGCATCGAAAAATTTTGTTTTTAGTTCGACAGTATATAACTGGCGCCACTGGCGCACATATAGGTTTATACGTATAGGTACGGTACATACGAAATCACCTCTACTGGTATATAGTGAAATTTGAAGCGGAATCACCTCATGAAAACTTGGTTTATCGGCAACACTGCTTAACAGTTTCGAGTTTCGACCAAGAAGTGAACACGTTGTGCTTTTCACCGGTGTTACATGTGTATGATATATTCAACAGAATGAATTCAAAAAATTTTAAATCAAGGACTAAGCGAATTATTGAAACTGTACTGGTAAGTGTAGCTTATTTTAGTAGTATTCTAGCATTATTAGTTTTAGGTTACGCGGGCACATTTTGTAGGTTGTAAAATTTCCCGCCTGAAACCTTCCCAGGTTTTTAATCGGGAAAGTTTAGTAAGCGATAGGAATCGCAATATAGCAATAAAATTTCATATAGACTTGTATGTTTTTAAGTTTCTTTTTCGATATACAGTTTGTTCAAGTTAGTAAAAGAAACTAATTTTTTGTAACAAAATATGGCACGTTCTTATTAGGATAGATAAGTAGTAAAATTTGATGTAACTTTTAACATAATTTTTTCTAAGGATGGCAGTGAAATATCCTAAATAGATTTGAGAAATTGAGTACATCACTGCCGTTTGATAAATTGATATTATTAGATTAAGTGCTTAAAAATCTCTTGTATTTTTTTAATATTTCTCTTATTTTCGAGAAAAAAGTGAAATTTGTCCCCTCCTGGAACAAGTAAGGAAGGTGGTCAAAACATGTGAGAGAAAAAAAATTGTATCTTTAAATACTTAATCTAAAAATAATTACAAACTTATAAAAAAGCACTGGCGGTATCAAATTATGATTAAAAAAATCTAATAACATGAAATTAAACCTCTTATATATGATGTTTCATGAAAATCGCTAAACTGGTTTTTGAGGCATTTGAAAAATATATAGGTATATAGGTATGTATTATTTATTAACTTTAAAACCCTTCATCTCCAAAACGAAGCTTTAAAACATAAATGGTAATGAATTTTATTTTTTGCAAGTTTTATCGCCTATTTTCCCAATTAAGACAAGTCATGCATAGTTTTTTAATTATAAAATACCTAACTGAGACAGGCGATTTCGGATACCTATTATCTCGTTTTTAATCAATTTCATGAATATTTCACGTGTCTGGTTTAAATTGTTTTATTTTTTTCCCGTTCATTTCGTAATATAAGGCATCCTAGGAGAACCTAATGAAAGAAAATTTTGGAACAATGGCAACAACTGCTGTCATAAGTTGTATTAACGTTTTTAATAACGATTCTGTATTTTTAATTGTGCTTAGTTAAAATGTACCATTTTTTTAGGGCCAATCTCAAAAAAATCTAGTGAAAGAAAATTTTAAAGAAATGGAAATGAGTGGCGTAAGTTGTTATATCAACATTTTTTAAGCATTTTTTTAAATATTCTAGGTGTGGTTGATTTAAATTGTACTGTTTGTTCCTATTCATTTATTTCAGGATCAACACCTAAGAAACCCACCGACAGAAAATTTTGAAAAAATTAAGATGACTGGTGTAAGTTGTTATATTTTTATTTCATCAATTTTTTTGGATGTTGATAACTATTTTAAAAGTGTCTGACAATGAATGGGGTCTGACTGCCTGGCAACACAAAGTCATTTGTTCATATATTATATTTGTTATATTAAAATATCCACAAAAATCGCTTTTTTATAGAACTGTTAAAGAAGTTAACCCAATTTTGCCTTAAGTCTGTTTCTTACATTATATTTATTTATAGAACTGGATAAACAACAATTTTTTTACTGACGCTAATAGCTTTATGGACTTAGACAGTACAAAAATGTCTGAATCTGAAATCAAAAAATAATCGGATGAAAATTATGTAATTGAGTCTGATTACTCTAATAAATTAATCGGGACTAATTTCGAAATTAAAAGCAAACAATCTCCATTAAAAGAAAAACTTTATTGTTCTAAATGTGGAAGTTGTGATTGTACTCATATATCTGATACAACAAATGAAACTTTTAAGGATATGTCCACTTTTTCTGATAATTATAAGGTAACGATAGTTAATATAAATGTAAATTTCTAAAAGGTAATAATTTAAAATTATTTATTTAAGAATTCCTTGGGTACACCTAAAATAGCTCCATTACAGCAACAGGAAATATCACCAACAGTGCCCTTAGCTAATGATATCATTTTTGAAAGGGAAGAATATAATGAGTCACGCAGTTTATATAAAAATAAGGCCGTAAGTTATAAAATCACTGACACCCATTTTTTACCATCAGCGGAAAGTGCTATGCCTCAGAGAAATTCGGAAACTAAATCTGGGAACGTTATTATTACTAGTATGCATTAGTGCTGGCAAAAACCGGAAAAAAGTGAAACCGGTTAACCGGGTTCCGTAAAAACCGATTTCAGATAAAACCGGTTAGTCGAATAGTTGCTAAAACCGGTTATTCGAATAACCCGTTACTTGAATCGCCAAAACCGGATACCTGAAAATCGGTGCTTTACAAAGGCAGACCCGGAGAAATTGTCTAAGGTCAATTACAATCGGACAAATCGATGTCTAAAAAAAAAAGGGGAAGTAGATTATCGAATAATCGGTTATTTGAATGATCGGATATTTGAAGATTCGAATAACCGAATAACCGGTTTTCGGATATTTGAAGAATCGAATAACCGGTTTTCGGATTTCATATAAATCCGAATTATCCAAAAACCGGTTTCAGTTGCCAGCACTAGTATGCATATCATCAAACCTTTACAAACATCTACAATAGTAACAGATAATGATTTAGTGAATTCTTTTTCTGGAAGTAGCAAATTAGTGGACACTAATGAAGAAACACAAAAGGATATATTTGATTTTCCAGCATACAATGATGTAAGAATAATATTACGTTATTATTTTATAAGTACAAAGGCTCAGGTTTTGTTTCACGAGTCTAGTAAAGTTTATCGAGAATCTTATTATGTACGAGTAGCATACAACAGTTTATGTACGATATAATTTTCGCAACTTTAATTTTTCCTTTATGAAATACAATGTACTTTTTTGTACTGCTAAAATATTGAGCTATTTTATGGCCACACAACTTTACATTAAAGATAACTTCTGATGAAATCGTGCATACAAATTTTTGTATTTTTTTATCTATAAATATATTTTATTTTAGACTTTACCTGATTCCACAGAATTGTTCCAATTAAAAAACGTGTCTTTGTTCGATCAGTCTGATCATAGTTTCGAATCAGACGATGATGATAGAGATAAGGACTATGAATATGAACATTTTTCGACATCTGAAAGCTCCCAGCATTCTGTTCCTGAAATTCCCGAGGAAGAAATAAGAGATATAGCCAGTAAAGAAAAGGATGGTTCCATTATTGAAGAAGTGGATAATAGATTAGAGTGATTAGACGATAAAAAAAGGGGCACTGTAAAAATGTCAAAAATTGAATTAATAAAAGTAAGTTCCTACTATTAAAGTTAACTTCTAGTTTAATTTAATTAATTTTCTTCTAATAAATCGGTTAATGTAACAAGCAAAGCAACAACATTATACATATATTTTCTTAAATAATGTTAAGTAGTAAAAGTAATTTCTAGCGAAAATTGATTTTTTTTATAAAAATATTGCTTTTCAAAACTGCCAATTTCGTATTATTATAGAGGGTGTGCCATAATCCAACGTTCAGTCTTTTGATTAATGAAAGAAAATATTACTTATAAAGTTTTGGTTAAATTTTATCAAAAACGTTTTGTTTTAGGTTATTAAAATTTATTTTCGACCCTTATACAAAATTTTTATAAATTCTGGTTAATTTATCATGAATGAAAGAATACTGTTTTTTTCCTACACTTTATATAGGGGTCCGAATTTTATCTAGGAAACTTCGAGAGCAGATAGATCTTATGAAAATAATAGGGTTTACCTTAATAAACATAGGTCTGGAACGACTTCGTTTCCGAGATACAGGGTGTTGAAGTTGTGAAAAAAAATGGTTTTATTTTATAACCCCGGAATCTAGTAATCGATAATAATCAAGTTTGTACCTTGTACTTCCTTGTACTTCCTATTGCATTCATTTATATTCATAAACAAATATTTCTTGGAAGATTAAAAAAATGTCTCGCAAGAAAAATTTTTTATAATGAATAAATTGAAATTGCCGGTTCTTAGAGAAAAAATACAATATACCTTTTTGTTATATTTTAAACATTAGAATTCAAATATGTTACGATCGCTAGTAAAAATGCAGTGACGTACATTTAAAAAAAAGTGTACCTACTACCCAGTTATACACTACCGGTTGGAGTTTTTGAGTTCATATTTTAAGCAATACATACCTTCTATCAACCAATACCTGAATCAAATCTGATTGTTATCGGTTACTAGATTCTGAAGTTATAAAAGAAAATCAATTTTTTCATAACTGTTACACCCTCTATCTCGAAAACAAGCCGTTCCAGACCTATGTTTATAGGGCCCTATTATTTTTACGAGATATACCTGCCCTCGAATTCAAATCCCCTGTATATAAGATATAATCCAGCATCCTCTATATACAATTTTTAGAATATTACGTTTATATGGCAAATACATTTTTTAAATTTGAATTATTTAATGACAGAAAAGAAATAGAGGAGACAAGAAGGAAGTGCGATGTAAATTCTGTTGCAATGATGTTATTACAAAAAATTACGCAAGGCATATGGAATTAAACCATAAAGATACAAAAGAAGTAAAACAGATTCTGCAATATCCTCGGAAAAGCAAAGAAAGAAGGCAGGCTTTCAGTTTGCTTAGGAACCAAACCAATTTTGATTTATACATAGAGGGCGAAGTACGTCCATATCGAGAAACAATGGAAAAAGACTCTTTAACTTTTTATCCATGTGTATATTGTAAAGGAGTTTTTAAAAAAGAATATTTAAAGCGTCACACGAAATTATGCGTTGTTCAGAATAACACACAAAAAAAAGGTAGTGAACTTTATTCCAGAAAGTATTATGTTAGCAACTCCCAAACTGAAGTTGCCTGTGCACTGGATGCCACAAATGCAATCTCAAGGTTAAATGTAAAAGAACAGGTAAGTTTTTCAAAAACCAAGATTTAAATAATGGTTTGTTTCAATATCACACGATATTTTTAGGTATTTGACATTATGAAGGGAGATGAAATATCCTTCGTAGCAAAGAAAGACCTACTTATCGTTTATTTTGGAGAATCGTATCTAAAAAAACATAAAAGAGAACGGAAAGAATACGCATGCAGTTCAAGGATGAGGGAACTATCGCGCCTATTAATTGCCTATCGGGAAATTACTAATGATTACAAATGTTGCTTCAAAGATATTTTAAAACCAAAGAATTTTGATTACTTTCTAACAGCTACAAGAAATATTACCGGGTATGATCCAAAAAACAAATTGTTCAAAGCTCCGAGTCTCGCTATGCATTTAGGAACATATTTGAAAGATATGTGCGATGAACTAACACATTTAATTTTAAAAGAAACTCAAGGATTTGTTTGTAAATTGCCAGAAGAATCGGAATTGTGGCTCCAAGAAATAAAAAAATTTAAAAAGTTAGTAATTTCACGTTGGAACACCGAAATATCGAGTTTGGCAAATAAAGATTTGCAAGAAAAACGCTGGAAAAAGCCACTTCTTGTACCTCTAGTAAGCGACATTAAAATATTTAGAGATGAAACAATAAAAATGGCGGAGAATTGTTATATACAGTTTATAAACCACACGGATGATGTAGAAACTTATAAATTGCTAGTTAAGTGTTCGTTGGCACTACTAATTATTTTTAATCGTAGACGTATAGGCGACGTGCAGTATCTAAAAATTCAAGATTATATGAGACAAAATAAATCTAATTTAAAAGATTTTGAATCTGTACTAACGGAATCGGAAAAAATTTTGACAACAAAGTATAGGCGTATTCTAAATAGTGGAAAAGGTTCCAGACAAGTCGTTATCTTGCTACCGGAGATGTTAGAAAAATATATAAATTCTTTATTGGAACATCGTAAAAAATACTTTTCGCAAGAAAATGAATATGTTTTTGCTATGCCCCAGAGCAAAATTAAGTGGGGACAAGGTGATGTTGCAATAAGATATTTAACAACTAAAATGGAGTTACAATATCCTGAAGCTATTTCCAGCAACAAATTGCGGAAACACATTGCTACCATTGCACAAATATTAAATCTATCGAAAGAAGACATCACCCAATTTTCTAAATTTATGGGTCACAGTGAAAAGACCCACGCCGAATTTTATGAGTAAGTTAAAATTTAAAGTTATGTCAATTTTTCGACATGAGTCCTAGGCTCGTATCGAATTATCCGATTTATCTACAATTATGAACTGTTAGAGGTGTTTCAAAATCTTACGAGCTTTGACCTTCATATACGCAGAAACATAATTCCGACCGTCGCCTAAATTATTCTACGTCCTAAAAACATTACATCTATTATTCACAGTCTATCTCGAGCTCTCGTAGCGTAAACGATCCTTTGATCCGATTACAAATATCATAATAAAATGCCCTATTCTTTATTGTTTTAATTTAAGCAATAAAAATATATATAACGAATGTTCGCCAGTTGACTTTATTGATGCCTGAGCGCCTTAGTTCATTTCTGATTGTAATGAGGCACGTGGTCTAATTCTGAGTCAATGTTTTCACAACGTGCTTATTAGAAGAATTATGCGGATACGCCACGCCTCGCGCCACGCCTTTTGCGCATTTCGCGGCTCATGAGATTTTGAAACTACTCTAACAATTTTTTATAGACATTTTTATTGAGAACATTATACAAATGTCGACTCTACTGTTGGTAAACTGTCGGTACTTCATATTTTCATTTACAATAAATCTCACGCGAAAATGCCTCGATTGTAAATCTCTAATACACTTAATAGATAAATGACTATTTATTTTTAAGGTTACCAGTTGACATATACCAAACAGCCAAAGTTTCCAAATTGCTGATTATGATGGAAAAGGGATCTTTACCTGCTGAATTCAAGGGCAAATCATTATCCGAAATTGAATTTGACGAGAACACGGAATATCCTGAAGATAATAATGAAGGTAAAGAAAGATGTACCTATTGCTAAATGCTCCGTAACTGTTAATGCTTCAATTTTTAGAAAATTTTTCGAAATCTAAAAAATCAAAACAAAACTCTTCAAATATTGCCTCTACTTCTACTAGCACCGATACACCACACTCAATTGAGCGTGCTTGTAATGAAGGTAAGATTATACATTTTAATTTACTTTTCCTTAATTTTGCTTTCAACTTGTTAGCTGTACTTCTTCCGGCGTTTGATCAAACCCTATTTATAATCTTTTGAGTTTTCAAGTGTTTATATCTACAACTTATTTTCAGATTCAGATTACGAAATGCCTTTAAAACATACGAAAACAGAGCATAAATCAGTACAGGAAAAAGGTAAGATTTATTTTAGTTTTTTTTACAATAATACTTTTATTATCCTTATGATTCCTTGAATTTTTATGACGAGATATTTTTTAGATCCAGATTCAGATATATGGACAACGCAATTAAAGAAGAAAAAAATACAAAAAAGAAGTAAGATTTTGTCTGTATTCAAAGCAGAACTTAAAATTATTATTATTTTTAGGTTGGACAGCTGATGAAATAAATCTACTTTCAAATAATTTCAAAGACTGTATTAAAAATAAGCGGTATCCTTCACAACAATGTATCTTAGATTTTATTAACAACACAAATATCAAAAGAACTCCATTGCATATTAAAGCAAAAATTCAACATTTAATAAAAAAAAATTAACATTATGAAATAGGTATGTTTTTACGTTTTTCCTATGGTTACCTATAAATAAATCAGTGGGCGTTAACGTATTATTTTTTATTTTATTGCGCTTGCAATCTAACTGTCTCTTATACTATAATACATTATGTCTTAAGATTGTTTTATCTTATTTTTACTTAAATTATACCCACCTCAAAAAAAATCTTCACCATCAATTGGCACATTCAGGGTAGTAGCTAGACTTTAGCGATGAGGTTTATCCATACAAGGTGGATCAGTGGAAACGAAACAGGCCCAATTTTTTTTGTCACCTTAGACTAACCGATTTTTAATTCGACGAAAAACTTTTTAAGTTTATTGTCAACCCTGCCACTATTGTCACCAAACCTTTTGTTAACAAAACTATGAATAGACGCAAAAATTCCGATATGCCTCATTTTCATTAGGCCGCCCTGTATATGGCTTAGATTAGGTTCGTTATAAAAAAATAAGCGCATAAATTTGGAAGGTTTTTAAAACTAATATAAGTATAATAAACCATATAAATGTAATGAGATTATAAAGTGATCCTTTACACCTATAAGAAATTTTATCAATCCCCTAAACGTAATTTTGTGTTATATAAACTAATGGAAATATACATTACTTACCTACCTCATAAATATGACAACATTGCATGAAGTGAGAACGTGTTGTAAGTATTTTAAAGTTCGTATATAGACAGAAGTAACAGCGCTATTATTATAACTCACAATATTGATGAATTTTTTGTTCAATAAAATTTACCCCTCTCTTGAAATTCATGTTAAGGGGACTCCCCTTAAAGGATATATGCAAGATATATGAAACAAAAGTAATGTTACATGTGTGAGGTCAGGTCGTCATATCAGTAACCCCGAGGTGACAACGAATTACCTATCAATATATATATATATATATATATACAGCGTGGTAAAAAAGTTCTGCATAAAATTCATATTTTCGTTAAACAAATTTTTTTTCGAAAAACGGTGAGACCCGTCGATTTTTATTTGATCCAGGGCACCTTGTTATGTGGAAA